TATATTAGAATTAAAATTTACTTTTAAATTAAATAATAATTTATAGATTTCTTGATATTAATTATATTTAATATATTTCGTCGTGATGTCAGCACAATAAAACATATTATAATTCCACAAGCTTCAAATTAATATATTATAAATATACACATTATATAGGCTCTGGGGGGGGGGATATATCCCCCTTAATTACGCCCCTGTTACTAATTGATAACTAATAAAGTAATAACTATATATTGTTTTATTATAATTATTGTTGAGATCGTGTGTAATTAGTATCTATCCAGAATTCTACGATTTACCTATAAACGTACTTATGATGCAACGAATACCATAAAAATAATAAGCATTATCTTAGTAGCAAAAACGAGCCCTGAGGATCGCCATGGGAACGGGACGAGTACGCGGTGGCGGTCGATGAAGAGAGCGCGTGGGCGCCCCCTTTGCAGTCGTACAACCCGCGGGAAACAGACCTTATGGATTACATATACGTAGTCGTCGTCGTCTTTCTCGCACTTTTAACAACATAATATTATATAATAGAGTTAAATACTCATCGTCAAACGAAATTCCAATCGATTCTCGACCCTCCATTAAAAGTTAATTAGAAACCTACCCTTAACGTAGCTTTAAGTTTGAATCTTTTCTAATAGATTCAATTTATTTGCGAACAAGGAGAATCACGTTCAACTCACATTAACAGTAATGTTTACACAACTTTTTGCAAACGCATTACAAAACATCACTGATGATATTGATTGCATGATGTAAGTAGAGATTTGCAGTGGAGGAACGTTGTATTAGTGGTCTCTCTTACTGCTAGCAGTATGGTTGACAGCAATAAAACAACCAAGAATGTACTAAGTTATATTTTAAGGTTATCAAGAATGGCGAATGTGGTCCATTACAAAAGTGAGTGAGACTACCCACCCATCTAACCCGTTATTACTTAATGAGATTCAACCACTATTTAACAATCACCTTAGGTTCATTTCTTTTCAAACTATTTACAACTAAAACAATATCCTAATCAACTTTACAGATGTTTCAGTACTTGATTTGGGAAAAAATTATATTAGGAAGATGCAAAATATAAAAAAAATGGGCTTACCAGAATATTTAATGTCTTAGGTATTAATTAGGATATAATTATAAGGGTAGACATAAATATTTACTTATCAAAAAAGAAAAATAAGACATTTTAGATTAAGAGGACGCTACATCCATATGTGTTGTCTCCGTCTTACAAGGACGTAACATTGCAAAAACTGTTTCGCGCGGGAAAGAACCGAGAAAGCTA